TGTTGTGGGAATGGAAAGATAAATGAAAGAAGGCGGATATATCCATTTAACATACAGTTTGTATGTTTATTATAACATTTTTCTGTGTGTCAAAATGAAAGACAGCCCACACACCTATCAATCATCAAACCGTCTTATTTCATTACGTGTTGATTCGTGGGGGGGCTAGTGGAGTACTTCGTGACCACAAAGTGTGAACGTTGTGATCAGCTGTTTTAGCGCAGTTCTCCAGTGAAGGGGGGGGAGTCTCCCTACGCAGCCGGTTGGCGTAGTTTTGGCACAATTCCGTTGTACAGACCGACGTTAACAGCAGCCCTGTCTGTGCACACGGAGACCGACTGTCGTCCGGTGATCTAACCGCCTTCTGGAAAAGCTTCACAAGTACGTCGGTACGCAAATGCGCTTTGTGACACAAGTGACGGTACGCATTTCAGATTACGCACATAACCTGCGTACCAGTTATGTGCACCACTGTACTACAGCAAAAGTATTCTCCGTCGGGACTTCCTGCAACAACACCACGCCGTTATCTTGATTCTGATTGGCCAGAAGACATTATCAAAGATGTTCTATTGAGAAGAAGATCACTAAGTGACAAAAGTTTTCAAAACCGTTTCTGGTCTTCGGTATTTCCAGACAAGTGGCTACTGAAATCAATCTTACTAACTGCTGTCTGTGCAATTCTCGGCGCGAGTTGGCGGACTTTAACATCATTTTTCATGGTGGGGCTAAGCCATTTCTTGGTATGGCTGTAGCCTACCCCAGCCATACCCTGGCGCTGCACATGCGTTAAATGCGTTAAATATTTTAACGAATTAATACAAACAATTAATTACAGCCATTAACGCGATAATTTTGACAGCATTAATTTGAGTATAACTCAACAATGGAATTATGATCAGTAGAAATGGCCATGACATGGGACCTTTAAGATGTATTTAAATAATACTCACTCAAAAACAGAGCCATTGAAAAAAATGCATTTATTTAGGTGAATATTTGTTTACTGATTAACTGTTTTGATTTGTAATCCTATGAAATAATCTTTATTTGGGACCAAAGATTGTAAACATGTATGAGTGTAAGTTGTTTGACCAATAGGTAAAATATGAAGAAGGTTAAACTACCTTATTAAAAAAGGGGAAATTAAGAGAGCGAAAAACAATAGTATGTAGAAGAGCAATATTTCTTTTATTTCTCTAACCAAAATGCTGTTTGAAAATCTAAGGATAGGAGGCCAGAAACGGGAGTTTGAAATGCAGCTGCAGAAAACGACTTCTCTTCAGGGAAAAAAGTTCACAAAGCGAGGTTGGAAATGAGATAGCTGAATTTCCCCAAAGAGAGATAGATAGACCCGATCATATCTCACCTCCATCTGCTGGGTCAAGATACAGACGGGTGAAATGAGTCCAATATCGAGGAATATGAAATATTCAGCAACCAAATACCTTCTATCTATTTCACCAATCCAGGCCTCTGAAGAGATGTGTCGTGTCTACATGAAGTGCAACACAATACATGTACAGCTCTGGAATTTCAAATAAAAAACAATATTGTCAAGCCATCAAAGAAAGGTGAGCAGTTTGATTTTTGTTGAACAAGGTATGGCTTGAAATGAGCCAGAAGCGATGTAAAGTACTGATAACGAGGAGCGTTATTTCACCTAATATTGATGTCTGATCTCTTCCTATGTTAAACTTTGGTTATTTTTTATTTAACTTGTTTACTTTGCATTATTCAAGGTCTAAAAACACTGCATCTTTGTTGTTATTTAGAGCAGTTGTCATTTTCTACGAATAAGATGATCAAAATGACAATATTTAATGTTTATTTGAAATGGGAGAGAATTGCTGTGAGTAGTTTATAGAATAAAACCAAAAATGTAAATTTTATTGAAACCCTACTTATAAATAATACGAAATACAATAAAACTGTACAAAAAAAGATCATTTTGCAATGCTTTCTTTTTTTTGTGTCCTGTGTATGTGAAGAATGAGGCAAAAGAAGAGAAATGCACAGAGAAGATGCTGACAGACACGTTATAGAGAGACAGCTTTTAAAGACAGTTTGTCATTACAGACTGAAGCTGCTCCTCTCTGTCTTCCTTTCACTGAAATTGTGTTTGCAGATGGCTGGAAGAATCTTGTCTTACAGGAAGACAAAGACAGATCGACTGAGCGTTAACTAAGACCAGGAAACACTGATGAAATCATCAATATCCGAAACAATGAAAGTGTCAAATAAAAAAAGAGAAATGATGAACAGAAAGCCTGTGAGTTTATCACAAGATCTGAGACAAAGTGCTGTGTAAGTGTTGGTGGCAGCCCTCAGATGGATCAGCTGAATCACATTCCCAACATGCCAACCCCAGAGCTCTCTGGTTCACCCAGTGACAACAGAGTTCAGCAGCTTGAAGCATATTTCACGGTTGAAAGTGACGCAGGAGCAAACACCACTCAGAGCCCGGGAATTCCTCAAAGGCAGGAGCAGGAAACAGGACAGTTCATCTCTCTGACACGAGGGTCCAAGAGAGGCAGCCGTCAGACACTTTATCCTTTGTGTGACTGAGGCTTTTGATGTGTACAGATGTGAGAACAGAAGTGATATTCTTCTTAACATCCTGTGAGGCTGGTTTAAAGGTCCCCTACAGTATTATTCTGTTTTTCATCAATATATTATAGGTCTCAGATATATACAAAACATGTCTCTGAAGTGTTTGGCTCCAAACACCAAACAGATCATTGCAGCATTACCCATAATCCCCTCTGTTTCAGCCCTGTTTCCAAAGTGCTGATTCTCTGTCTGTTACTTTAGATGAAAATAAGGAGCCCCTCCCCACGCCCCTCTGAAAGAGATTTGGTTACAAAGAACTCAATGGTGCTCTAGAGGAGATTCAGGTGATAAGGTGTGTGGGGGGNAGAAACATTTTATTAACGCAAAAACAGTTTCACAAGCTCCATGTTGCTTGTGTTTTGATTCTCATACAGCATCGTTCATGAATGTGATTTATTAAATGTTCAGCTTCATCTCTTAAACATCAGATGTTAGGATGCCCTTGACAGCAGCAATCAGGTCCAACTGAAGTCCCTGTACGTTCATTTTTATACTGCACTGGTGTCATGAATAGAAATGACTGTAAAGGGAATCAAATATCTGTCGTTTATTTTCAAAAGTGGATGTCAGAGATGTCAAGCAGCATAAAAGGGATTAATTGTAGTTGACCGGTAATGTTTTATACCTCTGACATGGTCCTTTAAAGGCCGATTGCTTTTGGTTAACTGCACAACATGACTTTTTAATGACGGGTATGCGCGAGGGGTTAAACGAGGTTTAAGTGTCAATCTGCAACTGAAAGCAGACTGTAAAATGTTGAATTATTAACGATTAGTGTGGAAATAAATGTAGTATGAAAGGAAACACTCACAAATACTCTTCGAAAACATGAAGCTGCCGAAGCGTGACTAAGAATTCTCGAACACACACACATACACAACCTTAACTCTCAGTCTCTCATCTAAACACAAACACTCACACACTAAACGCACCTCAGAAGCATGTGAGCGTTTCTTAATGTGTTCTGGATTACACGCTTGTGTGACTCTATGGGCTCAGTGAACACACTGCACGCTTGACGTACTGCTGTGTGTGTGTGTGTGTGTGTGTGTGTGTGTGTGTGTGTGTGTGTGTGTGTGTGTGTGTGTGTGTGTGTGTGTGTGTCAGTGGACGCTAACTGGCCACAGGCATGGAGACTAGGTAAATGTGCCAGTGAGAGAGAGTGAAGTGTGTGCAGGTGAAAATATAATTACTTAAAATATATGTATTTTAATGTTTAATTATGTATGATTAGTGGACTCAGGGTACTAATGCCCCTTCAGTTTAAGTTAAACACATTCACAATGGCAAAACGCCAGAATAAAAACTAATCTGGAGCTTCTGATAATCCTATAACGGCTAGGTAAAGTAATGAAATATAATCTCTCTTTTATATTAAAGAAAGCGAATTAATGATGATCACTTCTGGTTATGCCTTATACTTTAAGGCTTTGTCCGATGCTTCTATGTTTCATCAAAACAGCAGTTTCAAACAAAAACTAAATGAGACTACTAAACGTTTTCATGTTGAACATTAGCCGCCTTTAGCTTAGCGGTGGTTGTGCAGCCATCCGTGATGTAGTTTGTTTATAGCCTATCGTTAGCTTTTCACTTCTGGCGATTGCATTAACGCTTTAAAATCATAACGATGTGTTAATATGTAGAGAATTTGGGAAAATCCAATAGAAATATCCCTTTGCCATGATAACTACTCGGCCTACAAAAGATGTCCTCGCTGCACCACTCCATACATCATCATACACTCACTCAGTTACATTACAATTATATCATTAATGTTAATCTAAAAACAATAATCATGATTGCAGCGAGGCTTTACAAGGCTTTATCATATACAATGCTATAAAATATAAAACCAACATCAAGCTCCCAGACATACTCTTACTGTACGTCCCATAATAAACTCCAGAGATGGTTTGACCCTTTTTAATAGACCCCTCTCCTCTGACTATGTTAGACGTAGAGTGGGGGATCTAACCGTAAGCCTGTGTCACTACAGAATATAAGATCCTCGCTGTGGCATTCACCGTTGGGACTTTACATGACATTACACTTACTCTGCTGAAGTGAGGATGTACCATCTCTATGGCACATCAAGTACCCTGGGGCCATTCCCCTGATCATATCGTACATCTGCTGGAAGTTCAACTGAGTTATTCTCTGATGACGTTAAGCCTACCTTAAAGGGGACCTATCATGCAAAATGCACTTTTGTACGTCTTTTATATACGACTATGTGTCCCCGGTGTTCCAGGGAACTCACCAAGTGTCAGAAAACACAACCCTCTCTCTTTTCCTCCATACCCAAATCTCTAAAAACGGGGCTTTAACGGATCTGATACAGATTTGAAAATAGTCTGACGTCAGTGAGGAGGAACTCCGCCAATATGGCCAACTCTCCACCAATCAGGGGAATGAGAGGTTGCCGTGGCATGGTAACAGCATGGTAACATGATGCTAGTAACTCGGTCCCCTCCTTTGCAGGGGGGCGTGGTCAGCTGCAGCGCATGCAAAGACAGGGTGGAGGAGAACAAAATAGAGCAAAATGAGGCATGGCTAAAATACATGATCTGTTTGGTATTTTGAAAAAGAAAACCTATAAATATACCTTATATAGGTATGGCCCGGCCCCTACAATATATTATTCAAATATAGCATGATAGGTCTCCTTTAAACTCCAGGGTTCCCAGGATGTACCTTACAGTACCATGTTATTTTGCACGACATGCCTTCTGCTTTTCAGCTTTTGCACAAAGCAGGGCGAGCGTGCATTTTTAAAGTGACACTGGATTGAAGCTTCGATATCATGTGTTATGCTGTCAGTTGCCTACTTTTATTATTATATTTTAAAATCATAGTTCATCTATGATAAAGATACGATTACAACCCCAGGTAAAATCGAATCATTTTATTTAATAGTGAGGTATTACACTTATGGCTTTTATTAGATTTCCTCCCAATTTACAGAAGCATTTTATTGCAGCAGTTAACAGATTATCACTTTGCTCAAGGGCACAGAGACAGTTGTTATTAGGTTTTGGTATGGAGGGAAATTGAGGTCAGCAGCAACCCTTCAGCTGGCCGAGGTGCAGAGTGTCAGGCTCAAGGACACTTGTAAAGGCCAGATGGTTATTAAATGGCCACCTAACTTCTTATTAAGCCCCCTTGCTGCCCTTTCTGCTCCTGGACGGACAGTGCAGGGTTCAGACTTACTTCATGCATCGGGAGTAGAGCTGGCATCGAGCCAGCGGCACTCTGACCAAACAGGAGGGGAAGGCGAGCAGCAGAGTGTGGCTCGGCCGGTCCAGAGTGAGAGAGAGAAGCTGCCTGTTCTGCACAGAGTCCTCAGCACACCTGCAAGACAAGGCAAGGGACGTTTATTATACATGGCACATTTCAACACCAATTCAGATGGCTTTCCACAAAACATTTAAAGCATTAAAGCTCCCCTATTATACTGTTTTTCATCAATATATTATAGGTCTCAGATATATACAAAACATGTCTCTGAAGTGTTTGGCTCCAAACTTCTCTGTCTGTTACTTTAGATGAAAATAAGGAGCCCCTCCCCACGCCCCTCTGAGAGATATTTGGTTAAAAAGAACACAATGGTGCTCTAGGAGGAGATTCAGGTGATAAGGGGGG